AAACTTATTAACCCTCTTAAAAGGAGATGATGGGAATTACTGTTGAAGTAAAACATAGAAAAAAGAAGCATGTTTTGAATTATTGTCACTGAAGGAAGAAAGATCAAACATCTAACAAAGAACAACAGCATTAGAAGTGAAACTTTCTATGGAATGCTGAAAACTATGACGAGGAATTAAAACAATTTATTAAGAAAAGATAGACTTAAAGTTGTAACAGAAATAAATAAACATAAATTCACAAGAAAAAGCACAATAACGGCCTGGAATAACGATTAGGCCCTTCCGTGTAGCATTAGGCCAGAATTCTACCCAATAAGCCCACTAATCGCTTGAAGAAGTTAGCTGAAGTATTGGAAGAAGAATTTCATTTACAAAAATGTAATTTTTTATTAGATTGCAATAATGCTTTCATGTATATTGAAATGAGGATACAAAGGATACCAATGCACAGTTTCACTTGAAAAATATTAGCAATATATTTAGTTGCGTCCCTAATTTAGTAGAGTAACTTGTCGTTATTCACTGAATTATTTCATAACAGAGAATTACTAGAACAAATTTCGGTCTACTTCCGTCTGCTATTATGCTAACTGATGCTTCCTTTGTCAAATTATTCACGAAGTTAAATCCTAAACATCACACACTCTGTCCCTCTTATAATGCCAATTCTAATCTTCAGGAGGCCTATCTAACAATAAAAACTTAAATAATAATGTTACCTTATACTGTAGATCGTTCCAGCATAATGCAATACAAAATATTTATAAAACATTTAATAATACTGTCAAATCAAAAGAATCAAAACTAAAATAAAAGAAAGAAATAGGAAAAAAGGCTGTGGTAAATAAATACAATAATATCCAAGAGACTCATCCCCTATAAGTATATACCACAAGGTTTCCTAAACAAAATACGTGTCTCACGAACCCTTATTGTGAGCATTTCCAATAATGATGAGCAAAATTGCTCTTTATCTTGCATTCTTAGTTTTAGTCTTGCGATACTAGTCTTCGTCTTCCATATTTTGCCAAGACTATCCTTATACTACCAAAACAGAACAAACAAGACCAAAACTGAAACCAAGATAGAACGAACAAGACCAAGACTAAAACTAAGACCGAATGAACAAAACCAAGACAGAACGAACAAGACCAAGACTAAACCAAGACCAAATACGCAAACCTAAACGAAAAATTATTACTTCCAGTGGAATTATGAGTTAATAAACTATTTGAAGCAACTTTAATATAGACATCCTTTTCTGCGAACAAAACATTTTTAGTGTTTGAAATTTTCAGTTTGCTTTTTACTAGATTTTAATACTAACTGTAGTAAGAAAGAAACTTTACTTTAACTTTGAAAAAAGGGATCTACAAGAATGTTCTTGTTCCTATATCTGGATAACACATGGTTGAAATATAAGGACAAACTACACCTTGCACTATTTTGTTTGCTAAAAAGTCAATTTATGAGTTGGAAGGAGGGTAAGAACTCGAGTTTTCATAACCGTCACAACTTACGATACTATTTTCATTAAATGTCAACAATTTTAGTATTTAACCCGAGATAAAAATATTATGAGAAGCATATCCACGTATTTAATTGTCGTTTTATTACCTAAATCTTGGATAACTCTATCACTGTCATGCGTACCCGAGATAAAAATGTTCAGTCTCTCAGAGTCTCTAAAAGCGAGACTCGAGTCTCCGTCTCTCATCGAGTATCTCTGGTGTCGCCGAGAGAGACTGTCAACAAAACTTTTTAGCATCTCTGAATGAGAGACTCAAGTCGCTCATAGAGATCCTCATTTCGTATCCAGTCTCTGAACGAGAGCCTCGAATCTCTGAAGGAGAGATTCGAATCTCTCAATAAGTGGTGTCTCGATAGACATGGTTAAAATTTTCAAGTTCAACATATTTCAGAGATCCCAGTCTTTCTACGAGAGACTCGAGTATCTCAATTGAATAATTTGAGCGTATTATAATAGCGAAAGTTGTTGGCTTATCATAAGGCATTTGTCATAAAATTATATTCGGGCATATTCGCTCGAACAACTCGTTCTTTCCCTTAGGATACGTTTGTGTATCTTTTCATGAACTTCTTACTTCCATCTCGCATTTAGATTCGCACGTAATGAAGTGAATTCAAATTTACTTCGAGTAACAAGTCGTGTTATCACATTTGCGGCGCCAGCGGTGACGCTGTGACATACTCAGGATGCCCCAGAACTGTTGGAAATGTTCACCTCATTAGATATTCTCTTTGAGTGTAACAACTGGATGATGTTAGCAGGTGAATACGGGAAAATGGCGATTTTAATATATACTATTAAGTAGGCACTTATTTCATAGGCTATTTATTCACTCGAATAAACTGTAACTTCTCTCTGGGGTTCTCTGCTCTCCTGTCGTACATAATTTCCCTTAAACTTCACAACCTGTTAAGGCGGATATGCACTTGGAACAAATGAACCATAACGTAACAGCGAACGTGTTACGTTACGACTAATGCAGACGGAAAACTGTTGCATTTTACCTGTAACCAAGTTCATGCGAGTAATCATTACAAGCCAGTTTTTGCTAGCGGCATCAAGGGGATGTTAGGTATAGATAGTTCAGAATGACATGAACCTTTAGATGCGCAGGATGCGGGCTTTATCGCACATTATTGTAAAAATTGACTCGGATCTTATTCCATTCATTCAAAGTATGTGGTTCTCTATACGTATAACCAGAGATGGACAGGAATAAGTTTTGTCATTGTGTGGTCCAAGGTCAAGGTCCATGTCATTCTAAGTTACCTCTACGTTACACGCTGTCACAAATTCTATGTATGCGTGTCGTTACTTCTCTTCCATTTTAAATTTGTTGGTAATAGTCAACAGAAATCGATGACCCAAATGAATCAAGCACGAATTCGAAATTAGTGGGATCCCTTCTAGTGAAATTATTGTATAATCCACTGACACACTCAAACTGTAAAAGCCTCAGTGAGGCTATAGATCTTGACATTCACCATTGCGAATTGTTTTTTAATGCTCAAAATCTGGTGAGAATGTTGTATTGTAGTCCTGCTCGGTACGGTTTAATACAATCAAATTACAAATTTTTTGGATGCGAATTCTTATACTTTTACTTCACTTTAGTTTTTCTGTAAACTTTATAATTTTGCTATATGCAGATANCCCACATCCTTAACTATTTGCGAACAGTAATCTAATCTAGGTCTACCTCTACCCCTCCTAACTCCTGTTTCTGCCTCTAATATGTCTCTGACTAGACCTTCATGCCTGAGAAGGTGTCCTACCAACCTATCTCGTCTATTTTTTATTGACTTCCATAGAGTCCTCTGTTCTCCTATTCTTTCCAATACTTCTTCATTTCTAACCTTTTCTACCCACGTTATCCTCATCATCCGCCTAATGATAAGGCTATTGAGTTGAATTCTTGAATACTACCTATGTATAAAACCAAAAATATGCCTAATAATTATATCGAAAGGCATATATTTAATCTACTGTCATCCTTGTAAATATGAAATAGATAGCATTTTTTCATTTAAAACCAATTTTTGATATCAACAAAGATATAAGAGTTAGTTCTTTGAAAAGAAACTAAAGAAGAACACCACGAAAACTTCTAAAAACACCTTGCATAATTTCAGTTAGTAAGTTTTTCTAAAATCGTTTGAAAACATCAATTTATCTGTAGATATACTTACTCAAAGTTGGTATGAAGAGCCTATATATATATAATACTAATTAAAGTTGAATTGGATGCACACTGGGAGCCTTTTGATGTTACCTCAAAATCTGTAATTTAAAACCTTTCAGAACCAAGTCAAAATCTTATCCGAGCCCGTCGGCCGTGTCAATCGGAAGATGCGCCGACAATATTTTATTCAGTTTTGGGCTCTTGTTGAACACAAAGCCTCGAGTGGCTTCAATTTATTATCTTTTATTTGTAAACGACCGGCCATTTGTAACTCGTAACCTTCTCGACACCGTCCTACAGTTTAGAGTCTGTTTACACCACGGTCGTGGTGTCATTCCCATTGTTACACCCAATCCAAGGATACTGGATCCTCACTAAGTGCGAATTAAAGCCTATTTTGTCCTACATTTGCCACGGGATAGACGTCGAAGGTGTACGGGAGACAAATGAGATGCAATTTATCTGAACGACCTGTGTTTTGTATCGTTCACTTCACGACAGGTTCCACATCTGTCTTGAGGAAGCTGAATGTGTACCCCTCTCAGACAGTTGGGAATCACTAGTAAGAATGCGTTAACACGAAACCGTCAACCCGTACAAGTGGTTGTATTACCTATGCTACTCTTGTATGTATAATATCAAAAATAAATTACTTCTTTTTAGATAGATTAGCAGAAATGCTGGATGGAAACGAAAGAGTCTAAATAACAGCTTCTAGCCGTAAGCCGAAGAAGTATTTAATCCGTAACGAAAGTGATAAGAGTAGAGAAATTAGGGTGCCTAATTTCGTAGAACCTTAAAACTAGGTAAAAGTCTTGACCATAAATAATAAGATCTTATATAAAAATTAATAATAACAAAATCAAACATCACTAGGAATGAAGAGAAACCAAATAAGGAGAAAGTATTAAATAACTTATCGACACCTAAATATAGTGTTGTGTAGTCTATTTCTTTAACGATATGTGACAATTTGGAAAACTAAAAGAAACATAGAAGTGGTTTCGTCTTTTAAAGTAAAGATAATGTTGCAGTGAGTCCCATAACTACGATTTCTAAAGTAGATATTCCATATACGCAATGCCTATTTGCTCATCTTACATGAATAGAAGTAATAACACTATGAAAGATACTTACATGCTCCTGCAACATGGATTTTCTTCATCCAAGGATATATGACTCTATCGCCGTCATTTGTTTCATCGTCATCATCGTCGGGTATGGGCGAACCGTCGTGATCGTCATCACCATCATCTTGCTCGTCTGACACATTATCTTCTAAACGGAGTCCCAACTCCTGGAGAGTGTGTTGTCCAGGAGGAGACCCTCTGGAGTCTTGTCCATGACCCGTGGATGCGGGGCTACACACACCAGAGTTCACCTCACTAGGTTGATTGACACTTGGGGCAACATCCCCGATATTTTGCAAAACCGAGTTGGCACTCGAAGAGGGTGTAGGTACCGTAGGTCTATGAGTTGCAAAGCCGCATTGTATTTGTGTTTGCTGTGGATCTCCGTGCATGGGTATCGACGGCCGGATTTGATGGGGATGAATCGGTGGCGTGTGATGTGGATGTATCTGCGGGTGATAATAGTTACCATAATTGCCATAACCACCGCTAGTAGGACCATAAGGGGTTGTTGTGGCTTGATGGTGATTATGATACCCATACTGAATGGGATGCTGGGATTGATTTATATGGTGACCACCTATGAAATCACTGGCCGTGGTTGGAATGTAGCTACTTTGGCTATATTCTTCAGATGGAGGAAACTTGGGGTCGACCACTACGCCGGCCGCGAGATGTTGAGATTGCTGATGGTAGCTGGATGGAACTCCAGACACCGGGTTCATCAAAAACGAGCTCATGATCATTAATTTTTCTGAGCTAGACCGAATGCCAGCTTATGGACGGTTATACGGTGGGGGGTAGCGAGGCACTAGGCTATTAAACGGAGACTTTTTTCTGTTCCCCTACTACATACGTCCTGTCACTATCGAGCCTAAGGCCCGCCTCTAGCATCCAATCAAAGAGCCACGTGACTACAAACCGGCCAATCCCTGGCTATGATGTCTTCGACCATGATGGATGACGCACCTCTGGCGCCAACTAGATTCTCTTGCACCCACACAGGCGCTGAGGTAAACATGCACGGTTTTGCACCACCAACGAGAATATCAAACTTATCATCAGCTACATTTGAATTTTTTTAAATATTTAGTTGCACTTCACTTTGTAATAACACATTTTCAGCATGAGCTTGTTAATGTATCGGGCTTTGTTTTATATTTCCACAAAGACAATTAATTTTTTCTCGAAACGTTCATTAAGTCAACATTTGATAACAAAGTTCAATGATTGTTTATATCAACAAATTGGAAAAATATATCGTTAACTACGGATAGAGTTTCATAAATGAACTTCACAAACACGATGTTGAATCGTAACTGACGTTTAGAGAAAGAGTAGAGGAGCCATAAGAGGTTTACTCCTCCCACTGCTGGCTCTCCACTTCTGCACGTCAAATGTTGTCAAAGCGGAAGGCCGGTCTTTCTCCCTCTTCGCGCTAATGCCCGTGGGTTAGATAAGGAGAGATGGCTCACGCAGTAGTGGCAGCAGCTGAAAACATTGTTCAAAAGGGATACGCCAGTATTTTCACTGAGAGAATGAGGTACATATTATGAGTTCATTGTTGATTGAATGAACGAGCAACCGAGCATACTCCACACCGGCTGGCGTTCTAGCAAAATTTTTGTAATTAAATTACATGTAGATATGTAAATAAGTAAAGATAAGGATTACAAATTTTGAATGAATTGGAAATACTGAATAGAAGTTATGGAGCAATTAGTTGCAAAACAGAGGAATTTTGTTTCTTGAGACGTGAATCCCTTGCCGAAGGTTGAGGAAAATGAAGCAATTTTATTTTGGGTAACTTCTGGACAACATTGGGGCTAGATGTAAAGGGGCAATAGATTAGTATGCTTAGATTTGCAGATGATGTAGGTAACAGTATAAGCATCTGTCAAAGAGGAGTTGAAGATGTCCTTAAATAAAATTAAAGAGATATTGACAAGACAGTATGATAAGAAAATAAATAAGAACAAAACAAAAAATATTGGTATGCATGGGAAAAAGAAATAGGGAAAGAGTGAGTATAAAGATAGGTGACGAAAAATTGGAAGAAGTGGCTACTTTTCGGTATCTAGTCCTAGGAAGTCAGCTAATTCAGGATGGAAGAAGCAGTAGAGATATAAATAAAGGATGGCACAGGGTCGAGTCGTCCTTAACAAAAACTAATCACTTGTATGCTCGTGAACGGTTAATTTAGAAATTTGAAAGAGATTGTTAAAGGTGCATCCCGTAGGAAAAATTTCTATTCTATTTCCATTAAAAAAATACCATTTAATTACCACTGATAATAATTAGTGGTAATAAATGGAGAATTTCCAGTGGGATGAATGGGATTTCCGTTGCTGAGCGCAATTGGGTTACCTTTGCTGAACGCAATGTAAATTCCATTGCGTTGAGCAATAGAAATCCCATTGCGTTCCATTGGAACTTCATCAGCATGCTTCTTTCCATACTTCATATTATTTTGTTGAGAATTTGATTCTGGCTCTTCATCATTGTGTTTAGATTTTTTTTCACTTGCTTCTGATAAAACCACATCAGTCTCACAGATGACTTCGGCCTCCTCTATATTCTGGCATGGTTCAAAATCATCAAACAATGCTTCTAATGTAGGCTTTTTCACTTGTCTAGGGGTTATTTAATAAAAGGCTCCGGGTAGTTGAATACATATATAATAAACATAATAATGATGATAAACAGCAAATAGCAACTAACAGGAACTAAATATATACAACTTATATACAATATTCAATGTATCGCGTCTTCCAAAATACATACGCTTCGTGTAATCACCATAAATACGTCTTCCGTCTTTTTTGAGCAAAAATGTTCAACGTTTCAATGAAGTATACCGTCTTAATCAAACGTCTTAGTACCTTGCTGGTTTCTCACTCTACTGCCGTGGTGGTCCCTTACGTACCCCCAACATGCACGCATAGGTAAAAATAGATTATTGATTTTCCACCACCTAATTGGCAATATCACTACTCTTGCACCTGGGCTGTATCGAAAAAGGCTAATTGTATGTGGCCAATAATGATTATAATAAACGAATTACCCTATACTATTTGTAAGAATAATATAATATCAGCGGGCTTATGGCCTGGAAATAGTGGATGGATATATTTTTGAGACCATATTAATAATACGACGCATGCAAATATATCATTCAGAATTAAATAACATACAAACATTTATCACACCTATTGTTAATCGTTTCGAACGAGATTGATGAAACAAAAATCCATGTAATGAAACAGACTATATAAATAAATAATTCAAAACCCAANCAATTATTTTTCAATTTATGCCAAATGGTTTTAAATGGAATTTATAAATTTTCCATTGATTTTCATTGAAGTTCAATGGAAATTTATCCTACGGGATGTCTGAAGCACGGCTCTGTGCAAAACGTGGACGGTGGGCGCGGCGGAAAAAGAAGTAATGTTGCTAGGGAATGATGAGGATACTGAGGATAGAGAAAGTTAGAAATAATTAGGTACCTATCAAAAAGAGTATGAAAGCAGAGGGCACTAATTAGACATCTTCTTAAGCATGAAGGGCACGAAGGGCTAGTTAGGGACATACAGTAGAAGAAGAAACAGAAGTTAAGAGGAGTAGAACAAGACCTAGATTAGATTGCTGTTTACAAATAGTTAAGGATATGGGTTGTAGTTTTAGGAAAAAATGCTAAAATTAGCTCGAGATAGGAAGAGTGGAGGTGCGTGTTCAACCAGTTTTGGGGCTGACGATCATGATGATGATAATAATGATAATTTCAGTAAATTAAAAATCTTTGTAATTATAGAAAATGTCTCTAACAAGCAGCATAAAATTACTTTCAACTTATTGTGCACCTGTTCAATTTATAACTTCAAAAAGGTTAAAATTCCTGACAATCTATATACTGTTGAATTTATATTACGGTTGTGGTACAACGGTGACTACCTGCATCTTTAATAAACTAGATAAACTATTGCTGAGGATTTTGATTTTATTATGGTTTTACGATTAAATTTATACAAATAAGTTTAATATGGTTTTGTAAGAAAAAAAACAAGGTCTGTCACTAACGAATTCCAAAATTGTCACCTTCATTTGGTTAACGTATAATTTTTGTGGTGTCGTATTAATAAGTATGAGATTGGTTTTTGTTTTTATTGCTATTTTATTTGTAAGTTAACTATAACTAACTAATGATCAAATAGTTGTGTTTGGGCTTTCGCCGCGTTATTGACGACCAGACCGTTGTCCAGTATGTTCTGATATTTTTAGTGAAACACTGAATTTGTTTAACTCTATATTTACT